AAATGAAACATATTCATGTAAAGATTTTAGAATTTCATTTCCAAAGACATTCAGTTAAATATTGCAGTTTTATAAGAAATAGTAATACTTTACTCTTTATGCCAAAAATCTATGTGCTTATAGAGATAAGCATGTACTGTATTAATATGCAAGTTATGTATCAGTCAGTTAATCAGCAAAGATTTGTTTGACAGGTATAGGTGAATTATATAGGGGAAGTGGCTTGAAATGAGGTTTTGAAGGATGCCTCTGAATTTAAGGGAGATAAGGCTGGGGCTAAGGTAATATCAAGGCAAAGAGAACAAGATTTGTAATGCTACTAAGCTGTCAATAGGATCACATAGTTGGGAAATGAAAGAAATTCAGTGGCTGGAACACAATTTGGAGAAAAGTGGCTGGAGTTGAGTCAATAAAGACCTGCTGGCCCAGGCTGAGAAGGCTATTTTATATGCCACGCAAAGCAGTTTTCATCTGATAGGCAGTGAGGATCCATTTTAGATTTTTATACTGTAGAGCCAATGTGATTGGATCAGTATTTTAGAATACAGACAGCACTCCCTAAATTTTTTTAATGCTATGAATATACCCCCGCATGTCCTATTTATAACAAAATTTTCCTTGAGGGAGGATATATAGACAATCCCCTAATTATCCTAGGAACTTATATGGTATGTAAACTTTTGTGAGCAGGCTGTTAAATATACTGAAATAATTTCAAGATTTCAGAAGATTAAGAAGTTACCTATAAAGTAAAAGAATAATCTGTCTGGCCTCGCCTGGGTACACAGAACTACTTTAAGACCAAACATAATATATATGTTTGCATACTGCACCAGTTTTATATATGCCTTATAAAAACTTGAGATAGACATTTAGTTATGGACTCCTTGAACACATTCAGATTTTCTTTTCTTAGATATTTAAAAAACAATGTTTAATGCTTAGCATTTTTTCAAATAAAATTAGTGTATTTATTTTGAATGCCTGTGAAGAATTTGACTAAAACTATATCTCACTTTAAACATTGATTTAGATATATAATAAAAATAGTTTTCCAGGTAAAATTGTTTCACATTTATTTATTTATTTATTTATTTTTTTAAAAACTTTATTTATTTATTTGAGAGAGAGAGAGAAACAGCATGAGAGGGGAGAAGGTCAGAGGGAGAAGCAGGCTCCCCGCTGGGCCGGGAGCCCGATGTGGGACTCGATCCCAGGACTCCGGGATCATGACCTGAGCCGAAGGCAGTTGCTTAACCAACTGAGCCACCCAGGCGCCCAATTGTTTCACATTTATATGGACCTTTATATTTGCCACATTATTTTCATAAAAATGATCTCATTTCATTCTTACAGTAATCTCTGTGATATATATAAAAGAATTCTTTACTCCATTTTATAGATTTGAAGTCTATATCTCAAATGGATGATCTGCACATACTCTTCCCTGGAGAGGAAAGGGAGTAGGCTCTGTGATCAGATAGAATTGCATTCAAATCTCTGCCCTTTTCTTTGTTAACTGTGTGTGCTTGGAAAAATCACTTAATCATTAGGAAACTCAGTTTTCCCAGTCGGAGTTAATTGTACTTGTCCCACAGGAATGTTAGGGAAATTTCTTTCTGATAATACATGGGACATGCAAAGCATAGTAAATGGGAGGTTGCTGATATGATTATTGTTGCTAATATTAATCATCATCATTAATAAGGGTCCAATACCCATTATTCACATTTTTAAAAGATTTTATTTATTTATTTATTAAATTTATTTATTAAATTATTTATTTATTTAATTATTTATTAAAAAGATTTATTTATTTACTTGACAGAGAGAGACACAGCGAGAGAGGGAACACAAGCAGGGAGAGTGGGAGAGGGAGAAGCAGACTCTCCACTGAGCAGGGAGCCCAATGTGGGGCTCGATCCCAGGACCCTGGGATCATGACCTGAGCCGAAGGCAGACGCTTAACGACTGAGCCACCCAGGTGCCCCTATTCACATTTTCAAAACCCAAAAGTTCTAAAAAAAAAAAGTTCTGCAAAATTTTTCCCCAAATTTTGCATAAATTCAGTTGAGGTAAAACCATATTTAACATGACATGGGACTATTTATGTAGTGTTTACTTTTCTAGTCAGTGTCAATAGTGATAAGATTTTGCTATGAAATATTAACGTGCTATTCCTACATTCCTCAAGGGTTGTTTTGTCATTACAGTAAATGGGACATATTACCTCTCTGTAATCTAAACACCCTCAAGACACAACTGGCCCAACATTTTAGATAAGGACTATAGATATATATTATTATGATTCTTTTATTTTAATAACTTTATTGAGATGTAATTCACAACCATTAAATTTATTATTTTAAAGTGTACAATTCAGTAGTTTTGTAGCATATTCACAAAGTTGTGCAACCATCACCACTACATAATTTTAGAATATTTTCATAACCTCAAAAAAGAAACCCTGTACCCATTATCAGTCGAAACCCTGTACCCATTATCAGTCATGCCCCATTTCTTCTGCTCTCACTCCCAGCCTTACATAACTGTTAATCTGTTTTCTGTCTGTATAGATTTTCTCATTCTGGACACTTCATATAAAGAGAACAATAGGAATGATGTATTAATTGGACTTTTGTGACTGGCTTCTTTCACTTAGCATAATGTTTTCAAGGTTCACCCATGATGTCACACGTATCAATATTTCATTCCTTTTTATGGTGCAATAATATTCCATTGTATGGTTATATCATATTTTCTTTGTCTATTCATCATGGATTGTTTCCACTTTTTGGCTATAAGAATAATGCTGCTTTGAACATTCATGTACAAGTTTTTATGTAGACATGTGTTTTCATTTCTCTTGGCTAAATACCTAGGAGTGGAATTGCTGGGTCATATGGCTACTCTATGGTTTTGGGAGGAACTGCCAAACTGTTTTGAAGAAGGCTGTGCACCATTTTACTTTTCCACCAGCAGTGTATGAAGATTCTATTTTCTCTACATCCTCACTAACATGTTTTATCTTATTGTCTGTCTAGTGAAGTGGTATCTCATTGTGGTTTTGATTTGAATTTCCCTAGTGACTAATGAAATTTACCATCTTTTCATGTGTATATTGGCAATTTGTTTTTAGTCTTTGAGGAAATCTCTATTTAAATCCTTTGTCTTTCTAAAAATTGGATTATTTGCATTTTTACTGTTGGGTTGTAAGTGTTCTTCATTCTGGGTATAAAATGCGTATCAGATATATGACTTGTAAATATTTTCTCCCATTCTGTGGGTTGTCTTTTCACTTTCTTGGTCATGTACTTTGGAGCACAAAAGTTTTTCTTTATTCTGATGAAGTCCAACATGCCTATTTTTTCTTTGTTGCTTGTATGTTTGGTGTTATATCTAAGAAACTATTTCCTAACCCAAGGTCATGAAGTTTTACTCCTGTTTTCTTCTAAGCATTTTATAATTTTAGTATTTACCTCTAGGTCTATGATTTGTTTAAGTTAAATTTTGTGCATGGTAAACAGGACTTTGATGTAGGAAAGATGTTAAGGTTCAGAGCCAATGGCCGAGAAAGAATTCTTGAGACGTCTTTGGTTTTATTAAAGCACAGGAATAGGACCCGTGGGCAGAAATAGCTGCACAGGGGTCATGAGGAGTGGCTGATTATATCCCAACTTTCAAGTTGGGAGGGGGTTAGGGATAGTGTTAAGTCTCTAAGGAATTTTGGAAGCAAGGTTTCTAGGACCTTGAGGGGACTAGCTATTGTTGGGAAAAGGTCATTTATTATTGTCTGTTGGTGGGTCATATGCTTGGGGGATGATTGCTAACACGTATCTAGGTGGGGGGGGGATGGATAGAGATAAAGGAAGTTTCCAAAGAAATTTGTATATGTTAAAGTAGACTTACAGGATCCTGGGGGTCAGGCTAAGATTGCCTTTTGCCCTTAGCAAAGTATTAACATAGAGGGAGTTGAGTCCCTAGAGGAATGTCACTGTCTGTTTCAAGGACTTGGCAGTGGGCTGTAGGTAGTAGGGAAATGTAATTTTTCTTTTTGCCTTTGTTTCCCATGTCAGACTTCAATTTTATTCTTTTGTAGCACTATTTTTAAAAGACTATGTTTTCTTATTATCATGCTTGAGCTGGATTATTATCACTATTTAAAAACAGCCTAAAGGTTGCAAGCTATTTTTAATGATATGATTAGAATTAGTGAAACTTGTGTTCTCAAATGCTTGGGGTTAAATTTTGAGTTGGTGTTATTATTATGAGACAGTGGTTTGGAACCATTTAAACTTGATACTCTTATCTATATAAGAGCAATTGCAATATAAAACTAGAGATAAGTTCAGTGCCTGGCACATAATAGGTATTCAGTAAATATTTGCCGAACAAAAATGAATAAATCATATATTATCTGATTGTTTCCTTTGTTACTTTTTAATGGGCATTTAGTTTAGAAAGTAACATATTTAAACAATTATGGTTAAATAAATACAATTATTTTTATAGGTTGATCCTGCATAAATTGCACTAACAGAGAACAAATTCAAATTGGTCTCTTTATATTCATACTCAACTCCAAAATATAGTGAACACATCTCTAACTACTTTTCAGATAATCACTATACAATAAACCGTTTGTAAAGTGTGATCTGCAGAAATAATGTTACTATTATTACAGTGGAAAGGGGGTCTTTAATTAAATAAATGTCAGACACATTGGGTCAAGTAAATTTAAATAGGCTTTTCTATTACAGGATTTCTCAGAGCCTTGCTTTTGAAGGTGTGCCTTGTGAAGAAGGGGCATGGGCATGATATGCAACATTTTCTGAGTATATTTGACCAGAGAAACTTAATTCAGTTGAATGTATAACAGATTTAGCAAACCAAGAAACACCTCTTGGAAAAAGCTACCGCAGTGATTTTATTTTGTGGGTATTAGGGCACTGGAGGTCATCCATTTATAATGTTTCCATATACTCTACTTTGAATTCCAGTAAGAAAAAGCAACCAAGAGCATTGTTATTGGTATCTGGAATTGAATTTGCCAGGAATGCAAGCGCAGCTTCCTCAGTAAAGATCTTGCCTTTGGAAACATCTTACCCTTGGCAGCTCTCCAGAGTTCAGACTTGGCAGCATCAAGGACACAGCACAAGGTGTGTTTATTTGATTTAACATTTGGCAAAAGGTGTTTTGACTTGTGGTTTGTTTTCTTTCACTTGTTTTTCTTGTTTTGGTTTGTTTGCTTCTGGCAATGAACTTGAGTTTGGAATGTAGTTCTTTCTTATGGAAGACTGTATTACAATGGGGGAATGATTTTACTTATTTTTTTTTTTTTGTGGTATTTGGGCAAATCCAAGTAAATAAAGCAAGATCCATAGAGCTATAAATCTATATCTGATTTATTTTTTAAATCATTTAATATTATTGTCTATTAGGATTTGTTTCTACTTTAAATACTTGATCTTTCTTATGTTTGATACACTATGATACTTTGGTACATTGCTATATTTTGGTAATTATATTTGGATTATAATCAATGTCTCTATATAGTAGGTAATGAACAGATTAAGACCTTCATAAAATGTCATTCAATGTCATTTTTAATTTTTCTTGATTAATTGGTATATCTGCGTTCACCTGTTTTGTGGGAAGAGGAAATGTTATACCATCAAAAATATGGGCCCTGTCCTCTTCTACCTCTTCCTCTGCTCAGAACTTTTCAATGGCTCTCTGTTTCACTCAAGATGAAAGCTAAAGCTCTTAAACTGGCCTATATGTCCCTGCAAGAGATGGTTCCTTGTTACTGCTCTAATCTCATCTCTAATCACTCACTTGCTCAGCCATACTGGCTTCTTTGTTGTTCTCTGAACATGCCGGGCATGTTCCCATCTCAGGGTTTTTATACTATTCTCTCTACTGAATTGCTCTTCCCTAGATATTCCCGAGATATCTGCATAGCCCATTTATTTACTTTCCTTTGGGTCTTCATTAAAAGATCACTGTTTAAATGAGATCTAACCTGGTTACCATCCAAATATCCCTGCTCTATATTTTCTACTTAGCATTTATCACTATATAATAAACTGTATATTTTATACTTATTTGTCTTGCTTATTGTCATTATCCTTCACAAGAATATCAGTTCCTATGAGTGCAGGTGTTTTTGTTTGCTCTGGTTTTACTCTGTCTCTAGCAACTAGAGTAGTTCTTGGTCCTTGATGAGTGAATGAATGAATGACCAGTTAATTTAGCAAACATGGTAAGTGTCTCACTTACCATGAGTGAGGCACTATGCTAATTGGTGACCCTACATGTGGTGTCCAAATGGAGTGTCTCTTCATCGGTGGGGGGGCGATGATTGGGTAGAAGCCATGGCATAGGAGGTGAAAGAATTCACCTGAGGCAGAACAAAGGAGACAGAAGTTTATTGAATATATTGCAAGGGAGAGGTGGGCAGAACAGCAGAGGAGAGGCTTTCTGCAACGAGGTGTGAGTGGAGGCTGTTTTTAAAGAGGGAAGGTGAGGAGGTATGCCCTCCTATGGAATTCTCTGTTTTGGTATCTGTGCCTAATTGTAAGTAGCCGTTGGTCAGTTAGGGCCTAATGGGTATTTTGAGGTGGGTCTCCTGATGGGCCTTTCTATATTCCATTGCTCAAGCCTGTTTGCCTAAAAGCTGCCTCTGCAATACAGGGATGAAATACACAGTTCCTGCCCTCAGAAGTACTGTTTGAAGGGAGATGGATGGTTACAGCAGCCATCTTACTACAGTGTTGTGTTGTGATGAGAGTATGAATACAAAGCTATCATCACGTGGAGAAACAGCATTTGAATCAGACTGTGTTGGGCTCATGGAAGGCTTCCTGAGAAAGGTAACCTTTTTTTTTTTTTTTTATCAGCTGGAATAGCCTAGGTTATGCTGTAGGAACAAACAAGCCCAATTCACAGTGTCTTAGCACAACAAATGTTTATTTCTCACAGAGACTACATGTCCAAAATGTGTTGGTAGGAAAGCTCATGTACTTCCATGATCCAGATGCAGCAATGGGAAGAGAGTGGCTAATTATGTACTGGTATTTAGAGTTTTATTGATCAAAACAAATTTCAAAAGGGGGACTGTGAAGTGCAATATCGTCTCTATCCAGAGGGAGAGGAAAATTGGAAGATATGTGAGTAGAATTAATGAATGCTATACCTTTCTACTGTTTTAAAGGAGTATAAGATATCTAGGTAAAGAAGTATTTGAAAGTATTTCAGAGAAAGGAAGAGCATGGGCAAAGGCAGTAAGCTGTTACGTAGTGTGATAATTTCAGGGAACTGTATGTAATTCAGAGTAGTTAGAGCACAGTGTTGGTGTTGGATAAAGATAGGTTAAAGAGATGGGGGGAGAACAGGGGTTAGATTATACCAAACTATGGGATTAGAACTCCATCCTAAAGGACATAGGGAAACACTGAATGATATAATATACTTCAGGGGAATTTCTTGATTAAACTTAATTTATGAAAGATTATTCTAGAAGCAGTATGGTTTTAGGGGAGCAAGACCAGAAACAGTAAGACCAATTAGGATACTAATGCAGTCACGCTGGTGAGACTGCAGATGAAGGCAATGACAGAGAAAATGATAAAGGAGCGGAACAAAGGTAAAAAGGCAGGGAAAGTATATACATGGGGGTGGACTCCGGGGCACAGAGGGAGCCTTGGTGGAAGACAGGACACTTCATCCACTGAGATTATAGTAGAGGTAATGGCATGAACAGTGTCCGTACCTTAGCATGTGTGTGTGTGGATTTACGTGTTTGGTGTGTGTATAAATGTGGATGTTGGTGTGTGAGAGAATGAGTTAGAATAAGCTTGCAAGTGAGCGATTCTTACCTAGTGATCTGTATTTTCTTTGTGACTTGGGAAACCAGCTCACGTGCCTAGAATAAAATGAAGGTGGGTGGAAGACTTCAGGAGAGTCCTGAAAATTATAATGACTACTGAGTCCAATGGGACATACAACCAACTTGGGGTAGAGAGGTTGCTGGGAAGTATTATGCACTTGTGAAAAATCAGATTATACATTTTACTGCAGAAATTGCTTTGGGAAGCTCAGTTGCTTTTTCTTTAAATTGTTTAGAGTTCAGTAATAATTAAAAAATATACATTTGAAAAGACTTTTGTGTATGCTGCTAAAATTAGAGGGACTCATGAGATATAATCTAATTCCAGCCCCCAAATTTTGGTTAATGTGCTAATAAGGACCCAATTATTTCATAACAGAGGGAATACAGATTTCTAAGGTAGTTACCCAGTGCTTTTATAAAGTCATTCTTTTATGATATACTTTAAAAAAGAGTAGTATAATGTGACAGTGAAGTTTAATTTTTGAAAAGAAGATAGAGAAATGATTGGAATACTTGTGATATTTTTCTTAAAGATTTTAGAAGACATTGCTTGGAATGTTCTATAATTTAAAGGATATTCTAAAATCATGTTTCTTGTTTGCCATTGTGTATTAGACCCGTGGTTAAAATATTTGGGATGCTGGGGTGCCTGGGTGCCTCAGTCGGTTGAGTATCTGCCTTTGGCTTGGGTCATGATCCCGGGGTCCCGGAGAGCCTGCTTCTCTCTCTCCCTGTGCCTCTCCCCCTGCTTGTGCTCTCTCTCTCTCTCTGTGGTCCAATGGATAGGTAAATAAATCTTTTAAAAAAATATTTGGGATGCTATATTTATTATTGCAAATTAAAATTTTGAGACCTTGATGATAGAATCAGTTTTATATAATATCAGACTGTTTCCCTAAGAGAACCATACTGACCTGCTCCAATGCATGTGGTGGGAATATAGATACATATGGATATAGATATATAAATTTCATACATGTAAACTTAGTACAACTTAGTACAACTCCTGAGGAGGGAATAACAAAGAATTGATGGGAATGTTGACCTGAAAAGATTCCTTTCTTAGGTTGGAGGGTAATTTGGAACTCTTGACAAAAATTAGAGATAACAGTTATTAGTTTTAAAACTGGGGACTAGTGTTTAAGTCTGTTTGTTTGTTTTTTAGAAGCCTACCATTTTACAAAGTATTTGTGAGTACTGATTATGTGCATATACTGTAAGCATGAAAGTGGTGTTGTCTTTGGAATTTCCAATGCTTACTGACAATAAAAGAGCATGTGCAATTTGGCATCTTAAAAGTTAATCCAAAGATACTTTTGTTGAAGCCACTTAGCTGATACTAGAAGATAGTTAGGAGACCAAATAGTAGCAGAAAAGTATACAATTTATATGTAATTAAGTTAATACAGGCATAGTATATTCTGAGGCAATTCTTATACTCTTAAGAACCTTAACTATAAAGGAGCTCATTTACTTTTTAAATGAATGTGAGTTCATCAAGTTCAGGGTCTTTTTGTTGTTGTTGTTTATAAAAACCATTTGGACTGTGTGGCACCTCAACAGTGAGTAACTGATTAAACCAGCATGATGTAATGATACTAATAACATTTAATGAACACTTACTATGTGAGAAGCACCATGTTAAGTACTTTATATATTTAGCTATTTAATTTAGTGCTCACAACAGCAGTATGGGATAGGCATTCTTACTGTGCCCATTTTAAAAATGGTAAGTGAGCTTAGCTTGGTAAACAACTAAAAAGTGATAGAACCAGAAAGGAAATGAATTAAAATAGAGAAGAGTTAACCCACCCTTTATCAGGCTCATATTCTATAAGAGGTAGAGAACTTATAGTAGTATTTTAAAACTCAAAGCATTTTTAATTGTTTATGATAACTAACCATAAAATATGGATGATTTAACTTAATGTTCTGAAAAATATTTACTCAAAAACATGTATTGAGTGTCTACTGTGTGCCACAGTTTTCTAATTGTTTCAGACTCTTAGTATATAAAAACAAAGATCCCTACTCTTGTGGTACTATGTTCTAGTGGATGGAATTCAGAAAATAAACAGTAGAGTAAATTTAATATGAAAAAGCCTTTTAAAATATATTTAAATAGTTGATAGATCTAAGGTAAAACAACTTTTCTGTTGCAACACTGATAATCTAATTGTTCCCATCATTTTGTAGTGCCTACATCAAATCATGAAAAGGATGAAATATTGATTGTTATGAAATGGTCATATATTTTAAATAATT